ATAGTCCTGGGTTATGATGATAATCTACATTCGGCATCAAGGTCTCTAATCGGGTGAGTGGAGATTTTGAGAAGTAGGATCACCTCTTACCCGGGATGGTAACACCTATTAGGGCTTCCACTAAGGATTAAGAGTGAACCCTCAAAACATTGAAAGTATAAAAATACATTTTTACTTTAAATATATCAGCAATACATTTTATCTGCAGTTGAAGGCATGTAGTTGAATTCGAAATATTTAAATTTGGACATTAACAAAACCCATAGAGGTGTTGATATGCCGCTAAACAAAATCAACCAATCTATTCATTCGACAGGTTGTTTGTTCGCTGAGTCCCACTCCTTCTAATTTCTTCAATATGCCCTGTTAGTGTTAAATTTGTCAAACCCTCTTCTGTTGTAATATGTCCCAGAATCTCCATTCGCCTCTTTTAAGCTTAAATCTTCTTTGCGTTTCTATTCTTTTTTTCATAGAATTTCCTCGTTGCTCACGTCGATCGTATTCTCAGCATCTGTCTGTAGAATCACATCTCTAACTCTTCCTGCCGTCTATTAGAATGTCTAATGCTCAACTTCACGAGACCACCTCTTTGCGACTGCTTGCTCTCACATTGTCCACTGACCTGAGATTTACATTGAATCAATAGCTTCATCTACCGCAAGGAAAGTTGCTCCTCTATGTCACCCCAGAAAGTTTTTCTCGCCCGAGTCCTTCCTTCAAATCTATAAATCAACCATTTGCCCTTGCATGGAATACTGCTGCCATATATGGTCTGGAGCCCCTGCTACTTGTCTTAGGATCCTCGACAAAATCCAAAGACGGATATGCAATATGTTTGGTCCTGATCTTGGCATCTCGTTTACAGTCGCACTCTCACAGACGTGCCGTCGCCTCCCTCTGTCTTTTCTACAAATACTCTCACGGTAACTGCTCCGACGAGCTACTTTAGCTGGTTCCCAAACTTCATGCATGTTTTTGCAATTTTTTTTTCTAAAACGGACATTCTAATTTAGTTTTCATGAAGTGGGATATTTCTTTGAGTTGCAACTCGATTACTACAAAGCAATATTAGAAAACGCTTCCTTGTTAATTCGCATAAAAAACCCATTGTTTGTTCTGTTTCTTGATAATTACAAAAATGTAAATGTCACCCAGTGTTTATTTCTAATGTCGTGAAAAGTGTCAAGTTTTAACCCCCCACCCCTCACACGAGAAAGAGAGCAGAGAGAAATTGAAAGGAGGAAACAGAAAGAGAGGGGTGAAAAAGAGATGAAGACGGGTATATAGAGAGAAGAAAACAAGATGGTGTATAGTGGAGCAAAAGGTTTGTATGGTATGCTGAACAGAACATTCTTAATGAGTTCATTGATAAATGATCTCAAATTAGATAAAACAAATTTCAGATGAGATCGAATAATGAAGTGAATTTATTCCTCTGTAAAATAACGAAGACCGAAAGGTTAGTAAGGTCTCTATTTCAAAAACCACGTTTCATACCAGATAGAATAATGAAACTGGTATCAAAATGAAGTCAATTTATTTCACTTCAAAAATATGAGTTTTAGACCAGATAGAATAATTTAACTGGTATCAAAATGAAGTCAATTTATTTCTCCTCATTCTCTTCAAAAGTTTTAGTTGGATTATGAAACTGGTATCAAAATGAAATAAATTTAAAAGTTGCCAAAGAAGAAAATATTTCTCTTATGCCAGCCAGACTTGCTTGAGATGAACCCAGTATTGTACCTTATATCTTAGATAGTTTTAGATCAAATAGAAAAGAAAAATGGTGTTAAAGTTAAGCAAATATATTTCCCTTTAAATTTGCAAAGATTGATTGATAAATAAGGTCTCTAATCTTATAAAATAAGTTTTAGATCAGATACAATAATGATAATAGTAATAAAATTCAATTTATTTCTCTTCAAAATTATGTGGGTTGATTGATAAGAAAGGTCTCCAATCCTATACAAGTTTTAGACCAGAGAAACTAGTATTAAAATGAAGTCAATTTATTTCTTTTCAAAAATATGAACGTTGTTTGATAAGAAAGGTCTTCAATCCTATAAAATAAATTTTAGACCAGATAGAATAAAGAAACTGGTATCAACATTTATATAAATTTATTTTTCTTACGAGGGTTGATTGATAAGAAAGGTCTCCAATGCTATAAAAACAAAATTTTAGACCATGAAACTGGTATCAACATTATCTGTCTATATTTCTGAGATGAGGTATTATGTACATTATTTACATTGCTCGGACTATCATCCTCATCTTTGTTGCCATATTTATCACAACATTTCGGCCGTTGTATTCTCCGGTCTTCTTCAATGATTGGAATGTCGAACTGAACTCGTCATTTCGCTCGCTGGGGTAGACTGTTCTAGATCCACTTGCCATGTCTAATGGATGTCAGTTATCAGTTATCACCTGTTAATTCCCTTCTCCTAGTTCTCCACAGCCTTAACCAGGTATTGAACTCACACTCTTTGAGTCCTGTCACTGGATCTAACTAACGTCTTTATCCACTATGCCATATAGAATAATGAAACTGGTAACAAAATGAAGTCTATTTATTTTTAAAATGACCAGAGTTGAATTATAAGTAAAACCTTCAAACTTATTGCAACCCTCACCTCTTTCAACTTGCTCTTCACTCCACACGCAACACCCTCCTCTTCGTATCTGTCTTTATTCTTCTTCCTCTCAATCGATAGCTTTGTTGAGTAATACCGACCTTACGGGTCATCTTGCTATCTATTCCGGTTGGGGTCGGTGTGCCGTTTCGATACGGTTGATTCGGGTTTCCGATATTGGAATTGACAGCAAAGTCTAGAGTAGACCCTTATATGTATCATAGTTAGGAAGGAATAATACTCAAATTACGGCCGTGGTACCTTTTGTCTCTATGCGTCTAACAGTAGCTCCGAAAAATCATTTCTGGAATAAGAACTCCTTCAATAAAAGGCAATATATTGTTGACAACTCTAACAGGTTTATTGAATATAAACCAAAAACTAGTTGAATAAGATGTCTCTATTAACTACTGCAAAATTAAGTTCTCTAATTCAAGATGGTGATTTGAGAAATCGAGTCGCAAATGCTAAAGTTATAACCAACCTGTCTCCGTCTATGTCTTTAGACCTGTAGAGCTTACGTTTATATAGAAGTCTCCGCCCCAAAATTGACATAGATATATTTAATTTCTTCATCCCGACCGTCTTAATCTTAGAAGATCTTGTTAATTAACCATATGGTAATCTTTATATATATATATATGTATGTAATGATAATGGTGTTTTGCAGCGGTCATATTAGCACAAACAAATACTAATTTTAATGGTTAACAAAAAACAAAAAGAAAAAAAAGCAGATTCTTCTTTTATCGAAAAGAACCTGGAACATTATTTTCTACACAGATTTTGGACAGATAGTATAATGTAAACAAACCTCTGAAGTTAATTTCCCAGGACACACATTACTCATGTCTTCTACTTATCGGTGGGAAGTGAATAGCGTGGTAGATCATGGTTTTGCTGAACCTTGCCTAGTTAATTCTGGGTTTGATTCTCCCTGGAAGTGTTCTTAAATTAATTTCAATATTTTAAAACAATTTTTAATCCATTTCTTTTTTTCATTTTTTTCTGAACAATTCAACTTACTTTCCAGTGAATATTAATAATTTTTATCCCTCTAAATGACCGTTCTGCACTTTATGAAGTTAAACTGTTAAATACGTTTAATTCCCTGTTATACAATAATTTCATTTTTAGATAAGAAAGAATAATAAAACTGGTATTAAAATGAAAGAAACCAATTTCTCTTTCAAGTTACTTGGGTAAAATAAGTAAAATCTTCAATCTTTCAAAATATATTAACGTTACTCCGGAACTTCCTATCCATTTAGTTCTTAGCAATCTTTTTCTAATAATATTTCTTTGCTTCCTTTTTCGGCGTTGTTCGGTCTGCTTTTCAATTTTCTATTTGATTTTCGCCCAAATTGACTTTCTTAGAGATTTCCCTTCGACATTTCGTTATTTACCCTCTGGGTATTTCAGTCCCAACTCTTTTTTGTTTGTAATCATTTCACCCCAAGCAAGACAATAAATCCACTAGGATGAAAAAGGGTTACTAAGAGGGAAAGAAAAAGAGAGGAAAATAAAAGAATAGATTTTAAAGACATAAAAGAAAACGATTGAAATTCTTCAATTTTTTTGAAGGTCGTAGTTGACAGGAAATTTAGAAGTCGAAAGATTTAACATGCAAGAATTTATTTTTACCTTTTTTAGAAAGTCTTTCGCTTTCATTCTCCAGTTTTTAGGCATTCATTTCATACACCCGTGTGCAAATTAATTGAAACAAAACGAATAATTCCGTTATTATTTACTTTTTTCGTATTTTTCAATTAAACATGACCCAGTTAGAACATCGTATGTCCTTTCCACGAAAACATTCCTTGCAGATTGACCACAGATTTTCGATTGGATTTAAATCAGGAGAGTTTCCGGGTCAGTCTATACTACTTTGATTTGCTCACTGGTAAGACTTGCCAGTGTGTTTGGGCGGCGTTACAATTTTTGGACGCTTCCTTGGAGTAACGTTCATCGCAGAGAATGGCCGTAGGACAACTAATCGGCAGTCGAGACAATAGTGTTTTGGCGTGATAAAAATTTGATGCAATCACGGATGATGCACTATTTTCCAAGGTCAAACAAATTTTATCATACACCCCGAAAATAGATTCATATTACTGCACACCACTGCAAATGACCTAATCTGGGGAACAATTAGAAATCTATTACACCCTGTTACTCCAGTGGGTCTAAAACTGACCGTATGATGAAAGAAACAAATTTCGCCCATTCGGTATTTTTATTTCTCTTTCTCTGTTTTTTTTTCACATTTTCTTTCTGCCTTTCTCACAGACTTTCGCGCCATATTTTAGCTCATTGTCTCTCACTTACCCCCTTTTTGTCCCATTTATTTAACATTTTCACCCTTTCTTTTCGCTCTATTTCTCTCTCATTGTTCCATTATTTCCCTCTTACTATCATTCTCTGCACTTTTCTTTGCTTTCCCCCTCTTTCTATCCTTCTTCTTTTCTTTATTTACGCTTTCCGCTTTTATTAGTTCTTTTCTTTTTTTTTTTTAGATTTACAATTTTTCTTTTGCCCGAATCTTTTCACGCATATCGTTTTTTTTTTTTTTTTACAAATCCTTTACTTGAAAACGAGTCTACCGGGATGTCACGTGAGGTATTATAAGCATATTTCGTGAGTGCCGGATGTGTAAAAGGATTTACAATGAATTCATATCCCAAAACTGGTCCGCTATTATCATTTACAGAATGGATTTCTTGTCTCGACAGCAATATAAAAAACGAAATCGAGGTACTTTTCTGTAGATAAGCTCAATTTTCTTTGCTGAGAATGAAATGAAATCAATTTCATTTTCTCTTGTGCTACTAATTGCTGTTCGCCAACTACTGTACATGACCGGTGTTATATAAAATGAATCTTAAAGCACCTGAATAATGGCAATAACATATAATATAGACACTTCTTAGATGCTATTTAATTTTTTCAACTTTGATATTAAATCTTGTCTTCCTACTTTTCAGGACATATATATATATATATATATATATATATATATATATATATATATATATATAAGACATATATATATATTTATATTAGTTTCATATTAGTTTCTGTTTGTTTTTTTCTGCGATGAGTCGCATCATCATTTACATCCAGACTAATATCCTCATCTCTGACGCTATTATCACGGCATTTTGGCCGTTTCGAAAAAGAAATTAGGCAATGTTTTAGCAAACGTTATCAATTATCCATATCCCTCACCCCTAAATCTAGTTTTATATGTTTTGGTTTTATTAAAATCCTAAAAAAGAACTCTTTAAAAAAATAATTACCGAAGGTGTTTAGAGGATTTAGAGTTGCAGTATAAACAACAGGTTGGCTCTGTGGGTGTTGAACAAACACAAATGTGCCTGAGCGAGCGTCTGAATTAGGGATTGGCTAACCGCCCTAATAGACAGGTATCCCCGAATACGAGTGGCCCTATTTATTATCTATCTATCTATCTATCTATCTATCTATCTATCTATCTATCTATCTATCTATCTATCTATGTATTTATGTATGTATCTATGCATGTATATATGTATGTATGTATGTAGCTACCTATCTATGCAAGTAGGTATGTATGTATGTATGTATGTATCATTCTATGTGTTTATCCGTGTGTGTATTTATTTTTTTATGTATGTATTTGTGTGTTTATGTATCTGTGCGTATCTATGTATGTATCTGTATTTGTGAATCTGTGTGTATGTATGTGTGCATTTTTCATAAACTGAGGCGGTAGCTGGTTTTCATTAGACTTTTCCTGAGGGATATTTATGTATGTATGTATGTATGTATCTATGTATGTACGTATCTAGTTATCTCTGTATTTATGTATGTATGTATGTATGCATCTATGTATGTATGTATCTATGCATGTGTGTATCTATCCAGCTATGTATGTATGTATGTATGTATGTATATATGAATGTATCTACCTATCTATCCATGTATGTGTCTATCTGTGTATGTGTTTATTTTTTTAAGTATGTATTTGTATGTTTATATATGTGTGTATCTATGTATTGTATTTGTATTGGTGTATATGTGTCTATCTATCTATCTATCTATCTATCTATCTATCTATCTATCTATCTATCTATCTATCTATCTATCTATCTATAAAGAGAATCTCCTCATACGTTCTAGCATGCAAACTGTTTTCCCGCTCTAAAATAGGGCCAAAAATGTGGTGATAACCCATAAATAACACGTATATTTAATTAATTCTTATTCTCGAGCTGTTCCTATTTGTACCGCATTTATTAATTTCTGGTTATTTCGGCGAATTTCCCTCCTTTGGCGCGTCTGTCATATTTTTTAATAACTCGAGTCGAATAGATGAGCACAAAAGAGGAAAAACTGAAATCAAATTCCTTGAAGGCAGAATCTTTTATTTAAATTTTTCTTTTTTTAACTGGTGTGACCGTTCATTTTTCTTTCTTTCTTTTTTCCTTCTTTCTTTATTCTTTCTTTTCTTTTTCTTTCTGTTTTTCTTCTTTCTTTTTCTTCTTTCCTTTTTCCTTCTTTTTGTTTTTCTTCTTTCCATTTTCCATCTTTCTTTTTTCCTTCTTTCTTTCTTTCTTTCTTTTTCTTCTTTCTTTTATCCTTCTTTCTTATTTCTTCTTTTTTCTTCTTTCTTTTTTCTCTTCTTTCTTTTTTTGTCTTTCTTTTTTCCTTCCTTCTTTTTTCTTCTTTCTTTTTTCCTTCCTTCTTTTTTCTTCTTTCTTTTTTCCTTCCTTCTTTTTTCTTTCTTTCTTTTTCCTTCTTTCTTTTTATTCTTTCTATTTTCTTCTTTCTTTTTTCTTTCTTTCTTTTTCCTTCTTTATTTATTCCTTCCTTCTTTTTTCGTTCTTTCTTTTTAATTCCTTTCTTTTTCCTTCTTTCTTTTTTCTTTTTTTCCTTTTTCCTTCTTTCTTTATTCTTTCTTTTCTTTTTCTTTCTGTTTTTCTTCTTTCTTTTTCTTCTTTCTTTTTTCCTTCTTTCTGTTTTTCTTCTTTTCTTTTTCCATCTTCCTTCTTTCTTTCTTTCTTTCTTTTTCTTCTTTCTTTTATCCTTCTTTCTTTTTTCTTCTTTTTTCTTCTTTCTTTTTCTCTTCTTTCTTTTTCCTTCTTTATTTATTCCTTCCTTCTTTTTTCGTTCTTTCTTTTTTATTTCTTTCTTTTTCGTTCTTTCTTTTTTCTTTTTCCTTTTTCCTTCTTTCTTTATTCCTTCCTTCTTTTTCTTTCTTTCTTTTTTCCTTCTTTCTTTTTTCTTCTTTCTTTTTTTCCTTCTTTCTTTTTTCCATTATTTCTTTTTCTTCTTTCTTTTCCTTCTTTCTTTTTTCTTCTTTCTTTTTCCTTCTTTGTTTTTCCTTCTTTTTTTTTCTTTCTTTTTTTCTTCCCTCCTGTTTCTTCTAATTATAGTCCGGTAGGTTTTTCTTTTGTCTTCGCATTGATCTAGTTTATTTCCGCCACCTCAGGTTACGAAATAATTGTAACCTTCTCACCAAGTCTTACAACGACTTAGCAATGCATGTCCGGTTTCCACTTTATTTGATATAATTCTTTGTTTTTAATTTTGCTTCACGCCGCCGTATATATATATATATATATATATATATAAGCACAAATCTTGTTTGTCCGCTCAAGACGCTGAAAAAAATAATAAAAATTTGATTGTCTATCTATGTGTAGCTATTTACGTAAAGTTTTGGCACCAAATAAATTTAGTTTTATTTAGATCTACAGGCACGTATCTTATATTTTACCTAAATTATATTTTTTCCCAAATTATAATTTTCCCAAATTATATTTTTCCCAAATTATATTTTTCCCAAATTATATTTTTCCCAAATTTGTAGTTCTTGTTTAATAACTGGATAATCTAATTTTCGCAACACAATAAAAAAAAAGACCAGACTGCTCTTTTGTCATCTTTATAAATAAGTGTTTGTTTTGTTGATAAAATGTATAATTTACATTCCTTAAGCATTCAAATGTAACCATTTTCTGCTCTGGAAGTGACAACAACCTTAGCATTAAGATCACAGCATGTGTCGTTATTGGAAGTAAACTGTGTATGGACAGAAATAAACAACGTTGATATTTTAATAGAATATTTTTAAAATCTAACTTTTTATTAATGTGTTGTGTATGAAATAAATGACTATATCCCTGCCTCACATTAGAATGTCTGACGCTCAACTCCACGAGAACACCGCTTTGCGTCTGCTCGGTCTCACATTGTCCGCTGACCTGAGATGGAACAAATACATTGAGTCAATAGCTTCGTCCACCGCAAGGAAAGTTGGCTCCCTGTGCTGCTCCAGGAAATTTTTCTCTCCGGAGTCAATCTTTCAAATCTACAAATCAACCATTCGCCCTTGCATGGAGTATTGCTGCCATATATGGTCTGGATCCCCTTTTGTTTGTCTCAAGGTGCTTGATAAAATCCAAAGACGGATATGCAATATAATTGGCCCTGATCTGGCATCTCGTCTGCAGCCTCTCTCTCACAGACGTGCCGTTGCCTCCCTCTGTCTTTTTGTACAAATACTTTTACGGTAACTGCCCCGATGAGCTGCTTTCGATGGTTCCCAGACTTCATGAATTTAAGCGTTCTACTCGACTGGCATCTCGCTCTCACCATTTCACTGTCTAAAACTGTTAAATGTAGCCGTCTCTTCTACTCCAATAGCTTCATGTCTCGCACTTCTCGCCTGTGGAACTCCCTCCCCATTTCTTGTTTTCCTGATAACTATAATCTCCAACTATTCAAATGTAACATCAATCTCCGTCTCCAGATGCCCTGATCTATCCCCTTAACCTTCTCTTCATCCTTTCCTCTATCACTCCTCTTTGTTCTCGCTCCAACTCTGTAACCCCTTGCGTGCTAGTGGCTTCCCGCCTTGCTTGGGGTTGAATGGTTAAAATAAATAAATAAAAAATAATAATCACATTGTATATTCGTTAAACTGGGACATCAAATAAATACAATTTTTAATTTATATATTCTCCAGCATGTATCTTATATCTTGTTCAACTTAACCGTTATTACTTATCTTCAGTTTAAAAAATATCATTAAAACCTTTGTTTTGTAACCTGTCTTTAAATTAATTTTCAATCAGTTCCTTTGTGAGCTTCGGAAATAAATAGTTGTTTGTTGATGGATCATATTATAAGGCTACTTGTTCTTTACTTAGCGCATCTGTTAACGGCGCCCTGTCATTAGTTCAGATAAACAATGGGCTATTCCTGTTTGATTACAATGATAGAGGGAAGAAAAACTACAAAGGCGCTATTTGCTTTTAGGGAAAGAAAGAAAGAACGAAAGAAAGAAAGAAAGAAAAAAAGAAAAAAGAAAGAAAACAGAAAGAATGAAAAAAGAAAGAAAGAAAGACAGAAAGAATGAAAAAGAAAGACTGACAGAAAAAAAGAAGGAAAAGAGGAAGAAAGAAAAACAGAAAGAATGAAGGAAAGAAAAAGAGAAATGAAGGAACAAAAACAGAAAGACAGAAAGAAAGATAAAGATAAAGAAAGATAGAAAGAATGAAAGAACAAGGAAAGAAAGATAGAAAGAAAGAAAGAAAGAAAGAAAGAAAGAAAGAAAGAAAGAAAAATAGAAAGAAAGAAAAACAGAAAGATTGAAGGAATGAAAGAAAAAAAGACAGAAAGAAAGAATGAATGAAAGAAAGAAAGAAAGACAGAAAGAAAGAAAAACAGAAAGAGCATGTGTTTATTCAACGCCCACAGAGCCCGCCTGTGGTTTATATTGCAACTATGCTGAGCAAACCGTAGTTACATTTTCTGGGAAAGAGCGTCTTATCTAGTGTGATCAACAATTTCAACAAGGCCAGCAAGCACAAGTCCTCGGCCACGGTGACTTATGATTTCGTGCGAGCACAGCTATCGACGGCCCCTAAGTGTTCCGTCTGCTCAATTACACTCACATGGCTTAGGTCATATATATATATATATATATATATATAAATATATATATATATATATATATATATATATATATATATATGTGTGTGTGTGTGTGTATATATATATATATATATATATATATATATATATATATATATATATATATACAGTCACACGCATAAGTATTGGATACATGTCATTTTCTGTTATAACTCTAGTTTATGTTCGACATTTTGCCTGATATTTGGTAAGTAATATCTCGTAAAGTTGTTTTAGTTGTATGTGGAAGGAAAATTAAAAACTCATGGTTGAATCCATTTTGTTTTATCAAAGTTCAAAATTACCCGATGCAAAAGTATTTAATATTTTGTTGCGTAGCCTCTGTTTTGTTTCACTGCTTCCAGTCGCTTTCTATAGATGGTCACAAGTTTTCCACACTGATCCACCGTTACTTTACCTCATTATTCCTCTAATTGCTTGACATTTTGTGGATTCCGCTTATGAACTTTAACCTTCAAAGTATTTCACAAATTCTCAATTGGATTCAAGTCAGGAGACTGACTTAGCCAATTGAGAGTACTAATACCATTATTTTCAAACCATTCCTTTGTAAGTTTTGCGGTATGTTTGGGATCATTGTCGCGTTGAAGCACGAAATTCGGACCATGTCCTAAATAAGTTGCAGATTTCTGAAGGTTCTTCTCTAGAATCTCCCTGTACATGCTAACATTCATTCTACCATGGATAACTTGTAACTCACCAGTTCCGTTGGATGAAAAGCCTCCCCATATCATAATGGAAGCACCCCAAACTTAACTGTGGGGATGGTATTGTGCTTGTTGAAGGCAGTGCCATTTTTTCGCCAAACACTTGTCGTTGTGTTCCTTCCGAATAGTTCAACTTTCGTTTCATCCGACCAGATTACATTTTCCCAAAACTGCATACCTTTCTTTTCATAAGTTTAGACAAACTTTAATCGGTCTTTGACATGTTTGGTTTTTAGTAAAGGCACTTTTCTTGGTGATCTTGAATGAAAGCCTGTACGATATAGAGCTCTGCTAATGGTATCCTTACTTACATTAATTCCAGCACCCTCAAGATCAGTTTTAATTTCAGAACGTGTAAAGAAGGGTTTTCTTTTGCACATTTCTGCTGATCCACCTTGAAGTACTCTCATTTATTTTTCTCAGTCTTCCATTTCTTGGATGGTTTGCTGTACCGTCGCCATACTTCTTATACTTTCTGATGATATTTCCTACTGTACTTAGTGCTAGATTCATTTCTTTGCTAATTTTTCGGTAACCTTGTCCTCCTTTGTGACGTTCAATGATTCTATCTCGCATATCTCTGGATAATTCTTTAGTTTTTGTCATTTTTTATCCTTGAATTGCAGAATGCACATCAAAGAGTCAGATGATTAGTAGCACTATCTTGTAAACAATTGTGTGCTTCTCTGATTGGTCAGAGATAACATTCCAATACTATCGAAAGTTTGAATATTTAAAGTCTTTTAAAATACAAAGTTCGATTGGAAATTTGAAAAAAGTGTCATGTATCCAATACTTTTGCATAGGGTAATTTTGAACTTTGATAAAACAAAATGGATTCAACCATGAGTTTTTAATTTTCCTTCCACATACAACTAAAACATCTTTACGAAATATTACTTACCAAATATCAGGCAAAATGGCGAACATAAACTAGAGTTATAACAGAAAATAACATGTATCCAATACTTATGCGTGTGACTGTATATATGCATTATGTGTACCCTAGACTACCCGTGCCGTCAAAATTTAATGTATTATAAGTAATATGGATTATATTGTAAATAATTATCGTTTAATCCAAGTGCAATTTTGTAATAATGGAACAATGTGCAATTTATAAACACCTCAGGAAAGATACCCATATTTTATCCTCATGTTACATATTTACAATCAATTTTTTTTTTTACTGCGAAAGTTCTCAAAGCACAATATTTTTTGTGTAAACTTTGGAAGGTCTGAGTAATCATTGACAGTCCGTAGATTCAATCTGTAATTTCAGAGTCTGAGAAAAAATGGGTGTTATTACACACACACACACACACACGCGCACACACACATGCACAAGCACATACACACACAGAATTTAGTTCTTACTGTGAAATGTATCACCGTTGTTTGGGGCTGTCTCTTTGTAGTCTGTCAGCGCGGTAGATTTTTGCGTGTGGAAGTATATGGGGTCTTGACCTCTGTGCGTCTAATGTCAAAATTTTGAACACTGCCTCTCAATTGTTACACACACACACACACACACACACACACACATATATATATATATATATATATATATATATATATATATATATATATATGATTTAAAGAAAAAAACAGAGCACTTGAAAGTACCATTGTAATAATTTATTTCACCAGAGAATTTATTATTCTCGGGCTCTTCAGACTTCACTTTCAAGTTTGAAAAATGAAATTAAAATTTACATTTATGAAGGGCAGTAGTAATCTTATATAAGGTGAGATAGAGGGTGATGAGGGATAGTGTGAGAGACATGGTCGAAATTAGCGAGGGAAGAGAGAGTTGTAGAATTTAGAAAAAAACTAACACACACACACATATATATATATATTTATATATATGAACCTAAAGAGCCAGGTTGTTTTCGCCTCAATTTCATGGTCGTAGTTCTTTCTTTATCCCTTATTTTCACTTGGGCATTGGTTTGTTCAATTACAAGCCAAAATACCTAAGGTTTTTCCAAACGAGTATAACTATTTATATTATATATATATATATATATATATATATATATATATATATATATATATATATATATAGCGTATTATATATATAGATGTTTCTGAGATGAAGTATTGTAACTGTTTACTATTGTCATTGCCTTTATAGCCATATTCACGACGTTTCAGTTGTTGTACGCTCCGGCCTTCTTCATGCGATATACGTTGGAATTTCGAACAACATTGTTTATATTTAAGTAAGTATATAAAGATATTTTCACTCAGTAGAACACACGGCACTCATTTACCCCCGAGGTCAGGGTAACAATCGCGATGCTATCTCGTTTCTGGGGATTTCCTCGCTGCCCAAATATTTATTGCTGAAACTGAAAAATAAACAGGCCACTAAATATTTTCCTGTATCAATTGCTTAAAATCATTACTGACAGTAATTTTCAAATCAGGAAATATATTTCCCTTTTTTCAACCAATAGACTCATTTTCATATAAATGTATGTTCGATTTGATTTTAGAAAATACAAAAAAAATATTTTAATTTAAAAAAAAATTTACGGGGAACAACATAATAAAATAAAATATAATTAGAATTTTTTAAATCTTAATATCTGTCTTATATTTTACAATCTGATTGAACTTCCTATTTACGGTTTTGTTACACCTTATTGTATTACTGAAAACTATATGGAAAAAATATTTGAGTGTATTTACGTTACATGTATCGTAAGATTTCGAAACGCCGAAAAATTAACTAAAAATCCTGAAAAAAAATAAGAATATTTCCTTCATCTTCAATCAAAACTGTAAATATATATAAATATATCTTTCAATCTAAAAAGCTATTTTTAGTCGATACCCATATTTTACAGTAGATGTTACGTTTATTTTTTTAAAGAGTATATTTATTTTCGTCTCCCGAACTGAATATTCGAGAGATCTTATTGAAGAAAAATGTACGCTCTACCAGGATTCGAACTTGCGTCCCCATTTACAGGAGAAACTATCGTTAGATTCTACGAGAAAGAAAGAAAGAAAGAAAGAAAAGAAGAAAGAAGTAATGAAAGAAAGGGAATGAATGAACGAAATTAAGGAAGAAAGAAATAATGAAAGAAGGGGAATGAAAGACAGAAAGGAAGAAAGAAAGCAAGACAGAATGAAAGAAAGAAATACAGAAATAAATAAATAAAGAAATGAAAGAAAAGAAAAAGACAGAAAGAAAAAAGAAAGAAAAACAGGAAAAAGAAAGACAGAAAGAAAAAGAAAAAAGAAATACAGAAAAAAAAATAAAGAAAGAAAAAAGGAAAAAAAAAAAAGAAAGAAAAACAGAAAAAAGAAAAGAAAAGAAAGAAAAAAGAAAAAAAGAAAAAAGAAAAACAGAAAGAAAGAAAAGAAAGAAAGAAAAAAAAAACAGAAAGAAAACAAAAAAAAGAAAAAAAAAAGAAAGAAAAAAAAAAAAAAAAAAAAAAGAGAAAAAAAAAAAAGAAAAAAAAAGAAAAAAAGAAAAAAGAAAAAAAAAAAAAGAAAAAAAAAAAAAAAGAAAAAAAAAAAAAAGAAAAAAGAAAAAAGAAAAAAAGAAAAGAAAAAAAAAAGAAAGAAAGAAAAAAAAGAAAGAAAAAAAAAGAAAGAAAAGAAAAAAAAGAAAGAAAAAAAGAGAAAGAAAAAAAGAAAGAAAAAAAAAGAAAGAAAAAAAAAAAAAAAAAGAAAGTAAAACAGAATGAAAGAAAAAAAGAAAAAAGAAAAAAAAAGAAAGAAAGAAAAAAGAAAAAAGAAAAAAAAAAGAAAGAAAACAGGAAAAAAAAAAGAAAGAAAGAAAAAAGAAAAAAGAAAAAAAAAAAAGTAAAAACAGAATGAAAGAAAAAAGGAAAAAAAAGAAAGAAAGAAAAAAAAAAAAAACAAAAACAGAAAAAAAAAAAAAGAAAAAAAACAGAAAAAAAAAAAGAAAAAAAGAAAGAAAAAAAAAAAGAAAGAAAGAAAAACAGGAAAAAGAAAGACAGAAAGAATGAAAGAAAGAAAAGAAAGTAAGACATATATGATAGAAGAGGTGATAACACTGTAGTGTGTTACACGACTGCTTCGGTAAAAACGGAAAATCTCGTCAATTTTGTATCCTCTTACTTCTATAAATTTGTACTCCCTTACTTCTATATGCTTCGTGGCCGTATCGGTCACGAAACATATTCTAAGCATGGGCGAATGGTAGACATATAGTTATGTAAGATAGATTCTGGAGAGAAAAATTATCTATGACTGTGGACCAACATTCTTTGGATGGTCACCATGTGAAAAGATACTTATGACACAAAAAATATCTTCACGTCCCTAGAAATACACAAAGACATTACGAGAGAGGTATTTAAAGTAATGAAGAGTGAGAGACGAGGAGAGAGAGTGAGTGAGAGAGAGAGAGTGACAGAGAGAGAGAGTGAGTGAGAGAGAGAGGAGAGAGAGAGAGAGAGTGAGTGAGAGAGAGAGAGTGAGAGACTGTCAAAATAAAAAAAAACAAATGAAAGGCAACGAGAAAGAGAGTGAGTGGTGTTAAAAACGAAGGAAAGATTAAGAGGCTGCGAAGAAAAGAGTCTGTGTGATATGTCCTTAAAGACAGAGAGAGGGGGAGGGAGGGTTGAGGAAGAGGAAAAGTGGGAGGTGGTGTGAAAAAACGTTAGAATATAGTGAGAAAATCAGTGAAAGGTAGAAAGAGAGAGAGAGAGAAAAAAAGAAAGAGAAAGAGGGAAACTGGGAAGGAGAGGTGGTAGGAGAAAGATGTTCTGGTGAAAGAAAGATTTTTCAAGAAGAAAATTAATTATACATTCGGGTTTAATTGAATGTTTCTTAGCACCTTCATATTCTAGATTAGAGTTTCCATTCTTTATACGTCAAATCACAAACAACAAATGCGTCAATAAATCCAAAAAAGGAAAAACATGATTCACAGAGTAAAAACGTAATTATGTCGGTCATCTGGAGACGATACGGATGCCCATAAGCGCCACTAAGCAAATTAAATATTCGTTATTATAGATATGAAAAGTGTTTTCTTTATGATGTTGAAATAATTAAGTGCTGATGATTCATATGACATAAGAAACCAGATGAGAAAGAGAGGTAGAAGAGAAAGTAATGAACGGAAGGTGGTAGAGAGAGAGAGAGAGAGAGAGAGAAGAGAGGGAGCTGAAAGAAAGAAAAGAGGGAGAGAGTTAATAGGGAGAGCAGAATAGAGGAGATGAAGGGTTAATAGATAGAGGAGTGATAGAAAGTGATGAACTAAACAGGGAGAAAAGAGATTTGATGAAAAGAGGAAGGAGAGTAAGAGTTAGGTTGATATAGAAGATGAAGAGATATAGAAAGGCGAAATAAAGAGGTAGGAGGAGGGAGGAGAGTTAGAAGGATGAGTAGACGATTGGAGGGAAAGAAGGAGAGAAAAGAAGTATAGAGCGATCAAAGAAAGAGGGAAGGCTGGACAGGAGAGCAAAATAATGAGATTGAAAGCGAGGTATTGAAAAAGAAGCGGGGAGATAAAGAGAGAAAAGATTGAGGGAGAGCCAAGAAACGGAAAAGAGAAAGGAAGAGCAAGGATGTAAAGTCAAGGAAGAGACATTTTGGTTAAATCAAAATTAAAAGGGGCAAACAATATAACTGAAAGCGAAGGGGAAAATGATAGATTTTGACACAAGCTCACACGCACATTCGAGGATTTCCTGAAAAGTTCTCGGTCAGACCAACCTTCCAAAATCAGTATTTCAAAAATTGACCATCAGAATTTAATTCCAAATGGAGAAAGTTACTTGAGAATGGATGTGCTAAGTTTGATTTATACTGATTGATTCGTTTGCAGATTATTTAGAATCAGAAAATATTTTTAGATTATAAGTATTTTTTGCTTACATTATCTACATATTCAGATTGTTATCCTCATCTGCATTGCCAGACTCACAACGTTTCAGCCATTGTACGCTCCGGCCTTCATCAGGTGATTGGTCATCAAGGACACATAGTCTAGTGGATTAAGACGTTGGTTAGATCCAACGGCTAGACCGAAAGAGTTGTCAGTTCAATTCTAGGCCACAGCAGTGGTGAACCAAAACTTGGAGAATTGAGTTAAAGGGAAATAACTGAGACATCCAGAAGAAGAATGGCACGTGGAACTAGAACAATCTACTCCGCTGGATGAAATAAAGGGTTCGATTCGAAATTCAAATCACCTGAAGAAGGTCGGAGCGTACACCGGCCGAAATGTTGTGAATATGGCAAAGAAGATGAGGATAACAGGCCGAATTTTGTAAATAATGTAAGTAATAATAACACAGGATCTCAGAAATATAAGCAGATATTGAAGTATTTTTTTTTTTTTGATAATAATGCTTTAGTGATGCAAATCTTAGAAATTAACCCATAGCTGGGGGAGAAGAGGTGGATTCATACCTTTCCCAAGAATACTTGCGCAAAAGTGAATATAACGAACCCAAATGAAACTCAAAATCAGCTGCGAGACATTATCCAGTACACCACCCGCACATCCAAGCTTACATCATTTGATATTCCAATTTATTGTTGCTTAAATCAAAATTGTGGCACGACGGTAAATGGCAAAACAGCCCAACAAAAAAAAAAAAACGTTGCGACAAAGATGAACGTTGTAATAAATATCTCAGAAATATAGACAGACAAACGTTGTAATACAATGGCGACAAAGATGTGGACAATAGTCCAAATAATGTAGTGTACATAATACCTCATCTCAGAAATATAGACAGATACTGAAAGGCCGAAACGTTGTAATAAATATGGCGACACAGATGAGGATAATAGTCCGAATAATGTAGTGTACATAATACCTCATCTCAGAAATATAGACAGATACTTAAAGGTCGAAACGTTGTAATAAATATGGCAACAAAGATGTGGACAATAGTCCGAATAATGTAAATAGTGTACATAATACCTCATCTCAGAAATATAGACAGATACCAAAGTGCAGTTATCCGAATCTGCACAGAACATCTTACCTTGTCGATGATAACTCGCCGGTTCGCCATCTCCATCCTTCGAGCTGGCTGAATCTTCTTAGCAGTTCGTGAATGTTGACCCTACTTCGTGTGTCACGCTCGTCCGCCCACTTTTAAGCGTATCGATGCACTCATATGCACTTCTACACGGTAGTGCACTGTCGCCGTGTTCAATGTCAGTCCCTGGCGCACCTTCCAACCATAGAAATCGGATCACTGCTCTTTGTTCCTCCTTGGTTCACACTGCTAACGGAGCGGCCATGTTTACACTGTAACAGCAAGAAGAAAAACTCAAACTTTGATGACGTGACCACGTGCATGAGCAGAAGGCAGTTTGGGAAACCTAAAGATATGTAATGGCGAAAGTGAGGATAATTTTTGACTTACCCTCGTTAAATTTCATTAAAAACGACTGATAAAGCTTTTTATTCAAGTTTCTTTTCTTCGTATGTTTTCTTTCCTGAATATAAAGTGTATAAATTAAATTCAACTACTTATCTATTATAAACAAATTACTTATATATTATATCAAGTTACTATTATGAAATTACTTATAAATAAACTTATAAATAAATGCTCAAATTACTTATCTATTATAACAAATTATTATTATCAAATTACTTGCAAATAAACGTACTTTTAAATAAATTATTATTATCAAATTACTTATAAATAATCTTACTTATAAATAAATTATTATTATCAAGTTTATAAGTAATTTGATAATAATTTGTTATAATAGATACATATTGTATGGTCACGTGGTATAATTTTAGCTATTGTCTATAAATATGCGTTTCACCTTGCCTCCTTAGGCGACTTTCCCTGACGATCCGTTTAAGTGAAACCTAGGTAGGTTTGTCTGGCTCACTAGGTTTGTCTAGGTCTGCTCTACGGTTGTATTGAGCTCTTTTTGTTAGTTAGTTTACTCGTATCGGTTTTTCTTTGGGCTTCAGACCTGCATCTGTGCGATTTTTTCGACAGACTTTCATGTTTCTAGCTCTTTCTTTTTTAAAATCTTTTTCCTCGAGATTGATTTGATATATAAAATATTTTTCAAAACATTTTTATATATAACTATTTTTTATATACGTTCTTTTTATAGATACAAATATTTAAGTTTATAATAAACAGTATTACCAACATTTACTGGTCTGAATGTCCGAGAAATATTCATAGAAAATATGCATCCTCGGACAGGAATCGAACCTGTATCCTATACGGAACCGTCATATAGACTAACGCGCCTTATCCGTTTGGGCCACAGAAGGGCGTTCGGTTAGCAAAGTTGATTTTACTGCTTTTAAACACACTTCTCCATGATTTTCTCTCATACATTCATATCTGCTAAATGCCTACCGAAATGTAAACAAATGACGTCAAACATTATGAAATAGACAAAGTCCGACAATATATATATATATCCGAGTAACCATAATACCTTATCTCAGAGATCTAGAGGCCGAAACGTTGTGAATATGGCAATGAAGATGAGGATAACAGTCCGAATAATGTAAATAATGCAAGTAATCATAAGACCTCATCTCAGAGATATAAAGGCCGAAACGTTGTTAATATGGCAATGAAGATGAGGATAACAGTGTGAGTAATAGAAATATTGTAAGTAAAGTAATGATATTAGAACCAACAGGTATTCTTTGAAAAACCGAATGAAAATTGTTTGAGATTTTTAAAAACGATGGATGTTTCATGGTTAAACTAGAAAGGTCTTCGTTTGATTTGTGTTCATATAAATCTTTCCTTTTGGTCTTAACGGGTTAGTATTTTGGAGTCTTGTTATCATTTTCCATTACTAGCTACGGTATAATTTTTCTCTTCGTGTAACATTGTTATGAACGCCTTCAGAAAAAAAAATTATTTAAGTCAACATCTAAGAAGATGAAGTTAAAGCAAAACTATAAAATGTAGTAAATAGAAAAAAAAATTCAAAATCCTTTTTTTCTTGGGGGTTCGTCTAGCGAACGCTCGTCGGTACAGGCGCAAAAGATGCCCCGAATCGCGTGCGGACATGTCTGTTAATAGTCGTTACATCCAGGTTTTCCCCGTTAGCAGAAGAACAGCTTGGTTTGTCCAGATACGGGCCTCTTTCGCAACTTATCTAGATCTGGGTTTTTTTTTTGTCAACTATCTCCGGTCAATAAAAGTGATGAGAAAAGTAGTAGTGAAGAGTAAGAAGTTAGCAACACTCGGTGTCTTGTGAAGTCAGTTCCATTGGTATTTTGTTCCTAAGGTTATTGTGCCGCCCACCCTGCTATGGTTTCTGGGTCAGTGTTTTGTTTCCTCGCATCTATTTTCCATGTCTGCCTGTTATCCCCGTAATTTTTTCGGAGAGCAAACGGTTAGATGTTTCTCCAAACCTCAACAGATCCCCCTTGCTGTATTTTACAACAGTTCGTCTTGTGACTTTTACTTGTTCCAGAATAAATCCAAATAAAGTTAATATCTTTTGTATTGGATACATTGAATGTAAAATATATTCAAGCCAGAATTTTAATTATGAATCAAGACAAACAAAATATGCATTTTTTTTACTGTATTCGATAAGAAAAAACTGTAAAAAAATTATAACATATTACAAAATAAGCTACTCATAAGGTTTGATAGATTATTTGTTGGATCATAATTAATAAAAAACTAAAACATACGTAAAATGTGTATATAAAACCATAATACTGCTGAGCATAAATTATAAGACAAAACGTTTAAAATTTACATTTTATTGATAATCACGCTAAAACTACTGCACTCTTTAACATATTACATAATAATATAGCTAAATTGTTCAGTATAATTTCCCTTTGAAGTAAATGAAGGTCTTATTTGATGGCACAATGATTAATAATAAGATTCTTGTCACATACATCTTATCCATATACAATTTGTAAAGCTCCGGTAAATTATAATTCAATAAGGCTTTCATTGATCACCAGAATAAATTTTCCAACGCTACGATTTTGCACGTAAACTTAATCTATAAACTCGTTTCGTCAAAAGCGGTAACGATTTAAAAAAAATATTCTGTCATTAATTATTATGTCAAACCCTAACCCTTTATCACCAACCCTTTATAAAGCTTAATGTAGCTAAATTAGATCTCATCTAAATACACATGGGGACGTAGCAAATTCTATACGCAACATAATCGTTGATAATACAAATATAAATGTAAAAAAGGTTAAAAAATAATGGAAGTATTATTAATAAATAAAAAGCAAAAAAAGCCAATACTTAACATTAACACGAACACGGTCACAATGTGCTGACCGTGTTTGGAAAATAACACTAGATACATAAAACAATCCATACATTCTGTTAAAAATAAAAATAAAATCATCCTTGATAATGGCTAGAAGCATAGCCGAAAGCACCCGGGCATACAGAGCAGTCGGACAATTTCTACATAATTTATTTCCAGAAACGAAGAATATTATAAGAATATAAGAAAATTTAAATAGAAAACTTACTCGCAGTAACTTGCCAGTCGTTTTTAATGAGACTTGTATGAAAAGGGTCACAAAAGTTATATTAAATAATGACGCAACTGAGCAGGAAAGAAATGAAACTAGCATTCACGAATCCATGGTGTGAAATAGAACTAGAAGACATTTAGCGATTTGTACCAGAAGAGACATTTGTATGGAATTTAGAATAAAAAAAAGTTAATCTTGCCCCAAAAGAAACGAAGATCAAGGAAGGCCAATAAACAACTTGGCTGAGGCATAATCAGTATGCTTGTGTGACAGTGACCGGTAAATGTACTTTTGATAAGCTAACAAAGTCAGTCTTGGAAGAAAAACGAAATAATAATAATAAAAAAAAGAATTAATAAACAAATGACACCCCAAGAGAATTGGGAAAGTTTTAGAAACAAATTAAATTGCCGGAATTTGATCCGATCTAATGACAGGAATAAAAAGAAAAGAAAAAAAAACTGTCTGTGTCCCTAATTAGATATTCTGTACCATACGTAAAATGGACGAGGGTGTAACTTAAGTTATTGGATCGGCGAACAAGTGTATAAAACCCGACACGTCATACAAGACGTTGATTGGCCTTTAAGACACAAGAAAGATTGGTTGGATCAGCCTAAAAAGATTGTGGACAGCGAGCTTTTAAAAGACGGAAAGAAGTACACGGAATGGAGGCGGAGGAGGACATAGTGACGTCAGAACGCTTCGAAAGAACAGAAACTGGCAAAGGGGACAGGAGAATGACCTAACAGAAGTTTTCACTGAAAAACAAGATTTAGAGGGTGCGATGTATAAATTGTTGTCTAAGTTACGCAAAAATGAAAATAACACTGACATCTCATTTTAACAGATATATTTACCAAAATTACACAAAAATATCTGGAAATACTAGAGTAAATTTATTCAGTAAAATCGCCATTGGTTTCAACCACGCATTTCGGAATCTCCTGCAAATCTTCTGGACGGTCTCCTTGTTTAAGGTGGCGAATGCTGCCATAATCACTAGTAAGATCTATATCACTAAATTATTATTATCCCCCAAAAAGAAATTCTTACAATCTAAAAATAATTTCTGGCTTTAAATAACCTGAAACGGGTTGATCAGCTATTAAAAAAAACGAGTCAAGCAATCACCCAATCTCTTATTTAAAACCTAACAAGTCCAAAATTGATACTGGGAGAAAATCGCCTGTCAACGGATAAAAATGAATTGAGGAAGTATACAAGAATAGAAAATGGCGGATATTATTGACCGGATTTATTCACCCTCAACAACGATATTATTCTCATGGAGATGGATCTTAAATCATCAGAAGCGCAAATAAGTCCGTATTTATAACAGATACAGATGTGACAAGATGGGATTGATAATTGTCCCTTAAAAATTATTAAGAAAAAAATCTTTGTTTCTAACAAAAATTTATCACGAATAGGAGTTTGTTGAAAACAAAGCATTTTCCCATGATTAGGTTATTTTAAAGATGTAGAATAACAATACAATAAACGACATGTCCAAGCTGGTTCCAGCTAGCTCCAGCTCAAAAAAAATAAAGCAGGTTGAACTTGTCCATAAACTAACTGAAATTAATCCAATATTTATATAAAAATACCCCAGCCAGGTACCAGCAGCCAACAAATGTGAAAGAATGGACTTGATAATTTAGCATAAAAAATTCCATTAAGAAAAAATCTTTGTTTCTTCCTCAAAAAATTAATCATTCGAATAGGGCTTGTTGAAAACTGAGTGTTTTCCCATGATTAGGTTATTTTAAAGATCACTGGCGTTAATAAGTTCGAGTCTGTGAAAATTTTAGACACCTGTTCTTTATTTTTTGTTTCCGTAGTCGGTCTCCTTATTGAAAGGTTACTGAAAGGTAATTAGTTCAAAGACTGTCAAGCGCCCTGTCGTCCGTGGATTCAGAATATACTGACTGCACCTCTGCAGAGAGTTAAGACTTCCCCTCCCAAATGAGGCGTCCTGGGTAAGACGATAAACTACATCCAACAGCAATGCCTCTGATCAGGAGGTTTTGAGGAACGTGGAACGACCTCTTAATTTCTTGTGTTCCCAGGTCCACCATGACCCGGAGTGGTAGCACCTGTTAGGGTCACAAGTATGGGCAAATAGTTAACCCCCAAACTGGGGTCAAAGCATTATAAAAGTGTAAAAATAGGTTTTAATAACAGCAATATATTTTTGTAAAAAATTATTAGCAGCAACACATTTTTAAAAAAAATATCAACAATAAATTTTTGAAAAAAATATTACCAGGATTAAATTCTTGTCGGTATTCAATAACCCATTGAAGATGATATGCCGTAAAACAAACCAAACCAAACCAAACCAAAGACTGACAAAATTCACAGCTACTGCATAAGATGCATTTGACCTACTTACTTACATTTGATCTACTTCAGGCTTAAAGTTCAAATGTCATGTGCAATCAAATAGGGGATTTTCGGTTCATCTTCAGGTCTAAGTAACAACGACTAATTGGCCAATAAGAATGTAACAAATAAAATTGGGGATGGGGGCGAATCGGGGAAGTTTTTTGTTGCTCACTTCCGTAAATTATAAGTCGAACTATGGCTGGTTGACCAATGAGAATATGACACGAAATGGTCTGTAATTGGATCACCAATCAAAAGCCTTTTTGGTCGGAAAATTTCGTCCATAAAGTCTGAAGTACTGAATTCTATGACAAGTAAACCGTAGACGAGAAGTCAAGAAGCATATATTCCCTTCTGATATCAGATTCTCTCCAGCCAGTAAATGCCACCCGGCTCATTGAAGAAAATCTCAGACTCTGAACCAACTATTCAAATTAAGATAATCACATGCTGGTTAGCAAAAGTCTGTAGTGCTGATAAATCTTCTGTTTCTTTTTCTTTCTCTCCTACTCGGGGACATTAACGCCTGTTGAAAAGAAATTTATTTCGCTCACTGGGGTAGACTGTTCTAGTTCCACGTGCCATGTTTAATGGATGTCAGTTATCAGTTATCTCCTGTTAATTTCCCACTCCACTTCTCCACTTCAGTTCGACATTTCAGTTCGACATTCCAACCAAAACCTGAAGAAGGCCGGATCTCAGATATATAGACAGATACTGAAAAGCAAAACGTTGTAATATGGCAAAAGATTTCCGTAATAAATATGGTTACAAAGATGAGGACAATAATCCGAATAATATAGTGTAATAATAACTCATCTCAGAAATATAGACAGATACTGAAAAGCCGAAACGTTGTAATAAATATGGCGCCAAAGATGAGGACAACAGTCCGAATAATGTAAATAGTGTATATAATACCTCATCTCAGATATATAGACAGATACTTAAAGGCCGAAACGTTGTGATAAATATGGCGCCAAAGATGAGGACAATAGTCCGAATAATGTAAATAGTGTATATAATACCTCATCTCAGTTATATAGACAGATACTTAAAGGCCGAAACGTTGTGATAAATATGGCAACAAAGATGAGGACAATAGTCCGAATAATGTAAATAGTGTATATAATACCTCATCTCAGATATATAGACAGATACTTAAAGGCCGAAACGTTGTGATAAATATGGCGACAAAGATGATGACAAATGTCTGAATAATGTAAATAGTGTACATAATACCTCATCTCAGAAATATAGACAGATACTAAAGGAAAACAAGTTGTGTAGAGCCCTGATCACCTACGTCCTGAAGGGACACGCTACATAGAATAAGCTAGGTTAGTGGAGAATATATAGATCTATCTCTTTTTCAAGTGATACGGGTTCGCAAACTGTCTAAACTAAGATTTGAACTGGGTCTGCTAATTTCATTTTTGGCGTTCTGAATTTATTCCACGCGCATCCATCTTCTTGCTTCCTCTCCAGTTGGTTTGAAAAGCTTGTGATATGTTAGCTGTCATTTTCAATTTGGGTTTTACTTCGGGCGATGTTAATTCATTTAAAGGTGCTAAAATATTAACTTTTTTTCTTTCTTTCGTAAACAAGAAATGCAAAGAAAGAAAAGACACTAAAGATGGCAACGGGAAGCGACCAGGAAACCTACGCCAATATTAATGAACATAATGAAATTAACCAATTTATTCCATCAATCTACATAGATATAACGGATTATCGATCCTAATCTCGCAAAAGATTGTACACCAATAATTCCTAACCGATTTGGAGCCATCCCCTACTTTGGTATTTTTAAAATTCTGGTCCCCACCTCCTGTAATATTTAATTCTTACATATTCGAAATTTTACTGCAATTCACGTAAAGGAAGCTTAAAAGGCCATTAACTTGGTCTCTAAACAATCCTCCAAAGACCATGGCGTTCATGAAAGAGAAAAATAAAAAAACTAAAAAAAACAGTTAAATATATATATAGTTTCAAAACATATAATAAAGAACTGAAAGACAGAAATATAAAATATTTGAATGAAAGCTTATTCTGTAATATACTTTGATCATTTTAATCATGAAATAATAATGCAAAATGAAATTTGAGCTCACGTTGGTATAGGAAGCCGAAGGGTGCACAACCTTCTCATGCTCCACCAAAATATTATCATGTTGGGAATCATTGTTGTAGACGATTATTGCATATAGAATCTTTAGTGAAATGACGTGACTCAGTTGCTATTTCCATGACAAATGTTCAGATTAGATCCTCTTTCCACCAGTTCAGGCATTTATATCGAAGACTCACCATGTGACGTTCACGGAGTCGTATTATCCACATTTCTTCAAATGTTAAAGGGAAGTTTCACAGAAACGTTTTCTCGAGAACTTTTACCTGATTTGACAGACTCCCGCCTGAATGCTTTCCTGAACACCAAAATCTTTCAAACCTTTTCAAATCAAGGGATAAGTCGGTATCTATCCTTTTAATCCTCAAATCAAGCTTCTCTCAAACATCTTATTCAGCAACCTCTACCTTGAGAGACTCTTGAACTTTGTGTTCGGGGAACTTGTTTAACCCTTTGAGCCTTGACCACCGCTTTACTAGTGGTAGAGAAAAATGACTTAATTCTTAGCCACTGGTTGAACAGTGGTAGAGAAAAATGACTTGATGCTCAGCCACTGGTTTAACGTTGGGTAAACACTTGTAACAGTTTTTTATATCTACCTTGAGACATTATATACCAATTAATTGCGAATTTTGAATCAGGGCCTCAGGCAGAAGGGTTAAAATTGTTCAGGAACACAGGGCTCAAACGGTTAAAACAAAAACAACAGCCAAAAAAAAAGAATAAAGGTCAACTTTTCTTCATACTTTTTACCAATTTTCCATACTATTATTCCAGTGGGAAAAAAGGGTAAAAAACATTGCCTAAATAAGGGAAAATGTCGGAGATCTGCTCTTGATGTAATGGAATAACCCCCATGAATGATTACACTATAAGTAGTAAATACCTATAAAGTCAACTGTCTACGAGAGACTTGAGGAAGAGTGAGAGCGAGAAAATGCAAGAATATCCAATCTTCCAATTAGTGGCACTCACTACTAGATTGGCCCGTGTTTATAACTGTACCGTATTTCATATTGTACTGGTTGTGTACAGTAAACCTTTCTTCATGTGTTAATTAGTTTTTTTTTTTTTTTTACGAATTGGTCAAACCCAAACTCAAACAAAAACATTGTTTTCAATCGTTATGAGTCTACCGATTGAATAGAATTTTATTATAAAAA